AAATTAGACAAAAGAATAGGCTGGGTGAGCAGGTGAAATGTCAGGTTCTTATGATGAAATGAACTTGGGCAAGCACCAGGCACCTGCAAAGATACAGACAACTGAAAGAGACTATGTGAGATGATGAACTCCTACCAACAACAGTGACTGGGAAACTTTGGTGAAAAGACTAGCAATGAGCATTAAATACCTTAAACTGCAGACTTAAGCCCAAAGCAGAGGAGAGGATAACTTAAGAAGCAAAATTTGAAAGCAGTAGAGCAGGTAGGATGGATGCAGAATGCATCTGAAGCAGTAGAACTTCATCGATGGTGAGATGTCACCTTCCCTGGAAAAAAGGAAGAAGGAAAAACGGACTCTTTCTATTTTCTCTGTGAAATAAAAATTGAGTCTGCTCCATGACAATGATGGGATAGGGCTGGGTTAGGGGTGAGTAGCACAATAAAAAATGTGTGGGATTTAGGGGAGATAAGTGTCAGAGAATCACCGCAGAAGTTTCCATGCCAATGAGACTACTAGTTAAAGCCAACAATTTATCATTGGATTCTTGAATTTCTTTTATCAATTCGATGTCAAATAGTATCCAGGAGTATTGGCAGACTTTTTAATGTTATTTTACATCTGTGGACATATTTTTGCATTATTAATGTAAATCTGTTCACTTAGTTTTATTTTTCTGTTATAGCATGATGCATCAAGGGCTAAAAGTACCCAGTCTAGTCCTTCATGTATTTCAAGTACTTGTTTAGTAAATGAAATATACTTATGATAGTCTATGGTTCTTAATATTTACATTTAATATTTAGAATCCATCTCTGAAGAATTATAAGACGTATTTCTTACTTTTAATTAGCATTTAATTTTAGGGCCCTGAGAAAAACTATACACTTGAAATTGCTGATAAAGTTTAGATTATGAAATTCATAATCACAATGAAATTTATAAATGTTAAACTGCATAGGCTTCTGACTTAATAGGTCAAAATGTAATATACGCTTCAATATCCCTTTTCCAGGAAGTCTAGTGAATTTATCAATAAAATAAAAAGCCACATATGAAAAAATTGTATGGGTTCCATAATGTCTCTCATTTTCTTCAAAATAGCTGTCCATACCATTATACACAATAAAGTCAAACAAAAAAACAGAACAAAACCAATCAAAAGAATGAAATGAGAGACATTGTGGTATCCATTGTTGATTTCCTGTTGTCTTGTTTTGAATTCCTATGTTGCTTGCATTGTTCTGTTCTGATTTGCTTAGTTGTGTTTATTCTCTTTAAAGAACAGAAATAAAAAGAAAAAAAAAACTGTATGTGACATTATGTGTATAAGTCATGATTTCATGGACCAACCAAGTAAGTACTCAATAGCAGCTAAGAATTTATTAAGAATGAATCGGAAAAAAAAATGTCACTTGGCTAGTAATTTTAGGATCTTTAAGCAATTTAGAACCATAGTTCTGTAGGACTCTACTAATCAGGAGTGAAAATAAGAATTATTTTCTCTGGGCACCTTAAAAATAAACTATGGTCAAATTGTTTGCCTAGTGGTATGGCTAAAATATCATTTTCAAGTCTTACAGTTTTCCTATTGCTCCAAGGAGAATTTTCAAAAGATACGCTCCCGTTTCAATGGCAGTCAAGCCAAATACATCAATCAGTGTTTTTCTTAACAAAATTTTAAAAGTACATTTTATTGTTAATTTACTTTGAGCTGTCCAAATATGGCGCCCTGTTCATAGTTTTGTGTGAAAAGTAAACAGCTGTGGATCGAGCAGTAACAGAGATAACTTACATGTGTGAAAGGGAGGCCGAGAGTATGGAAAGTGAGGAAAATAGTAAAGAAATGAGGAAAGTTTGGATGCTCTGTACATTGCATAACTGATCTCTATAATGAGGAAAATGTCAGAGTGATCATTCAAAGTATGTGTAAAAGTAGCTCTGCTTTGGTATGGAATGATTCTAAGGCTAAAAAGAAAAGGGTAGTCTGATGTCTAAATCCAAAGAAGAGGATTCTTCTACCTTGACATATTATGTTACTCTCTCTCTTTCTCTCTCTCTCTCTCTGTCTGTCTTTCTCTCTCTCTGTCTGTCTTTCTCTCTCTCTCTGTCTGTCTTTTTCTCTGTCTGTCTTTCTCTCTGTCTCTGTCTCTCTCTCTCTCTCTCTGTCTCTCTCTCTCTCTCTGTATGCTAGTGGGGACTGAACTCAAGGCCTTTGGACTGAGCTATTACCCAGGCCTTTTTTATTTATTTGAGACAGAGTCTCACTAAGTTGCAAATTTCCTATTCTAGGGTTGAATTTGTGGCCCTCCTGCCTCATCCTCCCGAAGTGCTGGGATTACAAGCATGTGCCATCACACCCATTTTATTTCACTCTTAAAGCGGTGACCTAGATCTCATTATGAGAGCATCAACCACTGAATATTTTAGAAAATAAAATTTTTAACATAGTTGAAAGGGCACGAACTTTGGAATGAAACATACCTGTGTCCCATTCCTCAATGCAGTATGTACAGATCGTGAGACCAGATTACAACAATATTTTTATGAGACAGGTTATAAAATATTTCCAGTAATATGAATAAAGTTCTTAGCAGAGTGCTGAGCACATAGCAGGTGTATGATGAATAATAGTTATTCTCATTAACACTGCATGGCAAGAAATTTTATTAGGGTTTAAAAAAATCAGAGTATCCAAACGTCCGCAAATTGCCATCTGTTTTGTGCAACATATTATGAAACTTTAACTCGTCGAAATGATTTAGAACCTTCTTTAAAACTCACTGTAATGAGATTGGGCCTGCATCAGAGAAGAGCCATTAATAATCCAGTTGTCAAATCTAATGGCCTGTTTTCAGCCACCTTATTTATTCCCTCTGTGGCATGCAGGGTTATTGATTATCCTCAATCCTTTCATTTGGATGACTTAACACAGCTTTCTCCTGGATTTTCTCGTCTTTTAACTACCTTGCAGTACTAGGAATTGAACCTAGCATCCTTGCATAAGCTATATACCCCGTAGCTCATTCCATTTTTTATTAGGTCTTCTATGTTGCTAAGTTGCCCAGCTGGGCTTAACCTCACAATCTTCTCACCTTGGAGCCGAGGTTCTGAAACAAACTTTGTCTACTTCCTGATCTCATTTTCTTTGGAGACTTATGTTCACCAGGCAGAGTCAACATAGTTCAGCAAACCTTTATTCACTACTTAGCACATCCTTGCCTTCCTTCTGGGTATTGGAGTAATGATGACAGTGCGACGGCTCAATGAGGACTTCCTGTGCTTCCCCACATCACACTCTGCATCTCCTTCCTAACATACTGAAAGCGTATGCCTTTCAGTCCCTTGCAGATATTGAGGCATCTGACCAGTTCCAGGCCTGAAGTGTGATGGCAGATGGTACAAATGTGAACCATGGGCCGAGACATTTAAAAGCCAGTATGCTACTTCTTTGTGTTGCGTTTGGAGGTTTTAGGGTCTAGGGAGTCCCTAGACTCACCCATGCTGGACTTATCTCTATCTAACTAGAAAGAGGAAGAGGAGTCAGGGAACACAGGTGCAAAGCAGAAGTAACTTTAGTGTAGTATTGCAAGAGGAAGTGGTAAAGAGCCACCCTGAGAAGTGACAAGGCCCAGAGCTAGTCTCAAATCTGGGGCTACCGTCTTTTTTTATGGCGTAGGGGCCCTGTCTCCACCCTCTTTCTCCCCCCACTACCCAGGGTCCCTACTTGATTGGTCATGGGACTTCTTGCTAGGGGCTCGGTTTGGTTGGCTAACTGGGGAATTTTGAGGACAGAAGTACCTAGATTACTGTGGGACACCATAGCCACCCAAGGAGGCTATCAAGACCAGCCCATCATCTCAGGGTAACCACACAGAAGTAGTTACCGGCTGTCAGCTTGGCTGCTTGTTGAGATGCACAGGCCCCCTCCTTCCTGCCTCTTATAGGGACCCTAATCTAACCCTACCTAAGTACCCCAACTGTCCCTACTTGTGGGTCTCTTCCCAGTCCAGTATGACCCAGGAAATCATATGTCGCCATGGCAGAGTGTCCCCAGGTGCAGCAGCTCAGCCCTTGATTGGTAAAGAAGGGAAGCCTACCGACTCGCATCAGACATTGCGTGACTGTTGTGTTACACTTCTGGGAATTCAGAGTTTGTTACTGCACCTTCTAACCCACATCACCCTAAATTGCCAAGGACAATATAGTACTCATAGGAAATGCATATATGCACATAAACAGACACTGCCAAGAAAGAATGCTGTGGTGGACTAAACACAAGACATGTTTTGCACCTAAAGAAGTGGCCATAGAGTCATTCTAACTGGAGAGTGTTTAGGGAAAGTATGAATGAACTCTTCTCATTCTTCTTCTCTATCCCTGCATTTATTTTTGAGTAGATGCAAGGGGAGAGAGGACTTAGGCAGCAGTTTGCCTAGATTACTGTGAACAAGAAACCAGAGATAGAGCATCCACTCGTTCTCAGAACAAATTCTTGGTGCTTAGGATCTTCTCCCAAGCCACAGGGAAAGAAGAGCTCAGCTGAGACCCAGAGCACACACAGCTTCGTGGTTTTGTCTCTCCTTAGTGCTGCTCAGAACAAAACCAGGTGGAGAAGTGACATGTAGCTGTAGCTGAAAGCTCTCCTGAATATGCAATCTTGAATGAACTCTTTTACATGCATCTTATTTTCATTTATTTCTGCATTATTCGTGTCATTAATACCTCACAAGTCTCATTCTGGATCTTCCTCTAAGGTTGAGCTAATCTGAAAATATGCTGCCTCCAGTTATTACGTATTTATTTATAGTGGAATTTTCCTCATTACTATGCCCTTGCTATAAGGTTTGGACTCCATTGTCAGGGAAAATGTTAATTTAATTATAACTGATTTCTTTACCTTTCATTATAACTAAATTCTATTAGGCTGAACTTCCTTCTATTATTTTGTTTATTTCAGTTTTTAAAGTTTAAAGCAGGTGGACCATTCCACAGCACCACCTTGTTTTTTCTCTTTGTCTTTCTCTCTCCTGAAGGTCTGGCTGGCTTCCTGGGGTGCCTTCCTCTTTTCCTGTGTACTGGATGACTTCTGCACTTTCTACTAAGCTGCAGGATATGTGGTAGAAGAGACATCAGATGCCAATGTGGAAGACCTAGTGTTTGTCTGGGTGAAGGAGTTAAACACATTTCAGATGGAGCCTGGATGTAAAGCACTACAGTGGAACTGAGGATACCACAGGTAATTTGACATGTTAAAGCCAGAGGTATTTTAGTGCCTCACTCCTTGGTGTTAGGTCCCCATGGGCGTAGATTGAATCATGACTTAGAATTGATTCTAAAAATTTGTTTATTTATTTAAAAATAAATAAAATAAAATAAAATAAAGTCTTTACTGGTGTATTTTTGCAGTACACAATTTATTGTGGGGAATTGGTGCTTACACATAACACACCCTAATTTTTTTGTTCTCTTCCTTTCTACCCCCTCTTTTCTCTCTTCAACTCGTATTCCTCTTTCCATCTGTGAGAGCTGTATTTCTACTTTTCTCCAATCCTCTCTCTTTAAAATTCTTTCCCCTTCCTTTATTCCTTACTTCCTCCACTGGTTTCCCTTCCCATTTGAAGAAGGTCTCTCTACTTCCTATTATTTATCTTTTATTCTGTTCTTAATTTATACTTTGGGTTTGTCATACTTAAATTTGTGTGACTTATTTATTTCATTTAACGCTATGATCTTGAGGTGCATCCATTTCCTTACAAATGCCTCAAGCTTATCCTTCTTTTCGACAGTGTAGTACTCCATTGCATATAAATAACACGTTTTCTTTATTCATTCATCTGTTCGATGGCTATATAAGCTGTTTCCAAGATTTAGCTATTTTGAATTGTGCTATTATAAGCAGAGGTGTGCATATATCAGTGTAATATGATGACTTTTAACTCTTTTGGGAAGATATGTAGAAGGAATAGCCAAGCCAAATGAAATTTCCAGTTTTAGCTTTTTGAGGAATCTCTGATGATCTCTATAGTGGTTGTACTACCTTATATTCCCACAAAAATATACAAGGATTGCTTTATTCCTGGAAGCCTTTCCTGCATTTGTTATTATTTGATTTCTTGAGTTAGTACAGGATATTCATGCCTAAAGCCAACAAAGATTCCAAGAAATAGAGACTCAAACTAAGCCAAAGTCTATTGGAAGAAGGTTTAGATTCACCATAAAAATCAACTCTAAATATTAAACTTACAAGTCCTGAAAAGGATCCAGGTCATTTTCAAGGAAGAATACAGATTCAGAAGATGAAATAGGAGCCAAGTCATGTGGGAATAAGTGTGTGTGGTGGTGTTGGGTCCAGAGTGAAAGCTCTAGAACTTAGCAGTGTATTTATTTGTGGTCTATCTTTCAGAACAGGTGAGTTCAAAAAGGTACTGTGGTGTAATCAGGTTGTGTCTAGGTGTAGGGCAGGACAACACATAAAAAGTGAGGCTGGGATGAGAGCTACGAGGTCATGGAGAATTATTGGTTAAATTGTTAAATTGTTGGATCAATAGATGAATAAATAAAATGTGGATATATATATATATATATATATAACTACTCAATTATGAACAATAATAAACTTGTGTCATTTGTAGGAAAAGGGATGGATTATGAGAACAAAATTATCAGTGAAACAAATCAGACACAGAAGGCTGTAAGTTGCATAGATTGTCTTACACGACAAATCTAAAACATACAAGTTTAAAGAGCAAAAGGAAAGTGAGATGGAAGGAAACAGTGTTGGGTCTCTGGAGATAGAGGAGGGATCTGTGGAAAGGCGGAGTGGGGGAGGGGGTAACAAAAATGGTCCAGATGTGACAGGTATAAGTGCTAATTCACCAGGATGATTATAGTTGTGATGTGTCGCGAATGTACACTAAAATGACAAGAAAAAGGGGAAGATGTTTTTGCTTTAGCTCGGTTCTCCATGGTTTCATACCTTGGATGTGTAGATTTACCCTGGGCATTGTCCTATGTGTGCTTAGACAGTATCGTTACACTTCTGTAGTGTGGAGCGGGCTGTGTGTGTGTGTGTGTGTGTGATGTAGATTGTTTAGATCCTATACTTCCTTATTGATCTTTTGTCTGTTTTTTATCAAATATTTTAAGTGGAATTTTTAAGTATCCTACTTATTGCATTGCTCCCAGTTTCTTTCTTTAGTTCTGTCAATGTTTCTTTTATATACTTGGCGTTCTTTTCATATACGTGGGTGTTCTGTTACTGTACACATATGTGTGAGTACCTTGTGTGTATAATTTTATATCATCCTAGTGGGTTGCCTTTCACTATATAAAATATCGTTAGTCCTTGTCTTAGTGATTTCTTGGTGGTTTGTGGTGTCAGCAGAGACCAAAATGTTGGACAGAAGTCCAACGTTTTCACAAGGAAGATACTGAGTTTTGTTGTGGACAGCATTATTCCAAGCTTCTGATAGGCTATTTAAGTTACAAAAATTGATAATCCACTAGAAATGAATGTCAAAAATTGCAGGAAGGGACAGCATAGAGATATTGATTGGATGATACTGTCAGAGAAAGGAGGATCTGATACAAGGACAGTAGTAAAGTGTAGGCTGAAGACAAGTTCTTGAATTTAGGTTAGAGACAAAGGAGAAAACAGCAGTAAGGGAACAGAGGGGATGGCATTAGGGGTTACAGTGGATGGCTTGATCTTGGATGGGTGAGGAGACACCTTCATCCACTGAATCTGGACAGGCCTGAATGGGAACAAGCATAGGTAAGTGGTTTCATAGGTATCAGGTCAACACATTGAGAGAGCTCTTCTCCTAAGTAAGAGGCACTGTTCTGTTATACATTGGAGCACGAGTTAGCAAATTACTTTTCTGAAAGGCCAGATAGTAATTTAGGCTTTGTGTGTCTCTGTCACCACTGCTCTACTCTTTTTGTTCCTTGTTGAAAGCAGCCACAGCCATAGTTTAAACTAATGTTCTATTTCAGTAAGGTGTTACTTAAGCAAGCAGTTGACTGCATGTAGCTGGTGAGCCAACTTGTCTGAGCTTGTTGTTTAGATGTGCCATTGTGGGAATGAGAGAATGCATGTGGATTAGTGACACAGAAGAGGAGAAGATGGAGCGCAGGGTTTGGTGGACTTTGGCAAGGACGTGCTGGCTGTAGTTCTACTTACACTGCATTGTCTTTCATGATTCTCACGAAAGACATGAGAATCTGCTTCTGCTTCCTTCCTCCTTCTGTGATCCAGAGTGCTGCATGTATCTCTGGAAAATCAGAGGTGCCTCTGCGGACATTTGATGGCAAGATCCTTGTCTTACTTTTTTCTGTAATAGTTTCCCCAGTTTCTAGCCAAAGACCACATTCTTTAGTTGCAAACATTTACCCCTTACCTTTGTGCAGGGTGGTGAGAAACATTTCTCAGATCTGAGCCAGGATTGCCAGGCCCTTCGCATTGAATCCACTCAGTGCCATCTCATCCTTGCAGGACTAGTGACTAATGTGGTGACTGCTAGCTGGGCTGAGAAGTTGAAGTCATACAGCAATTATGGATCCACACACTGATTTATCTGTCCCCCTCTGCTGCAGCCCACACCATTCCGTCTTCCTGTCTTTGGAACAAAAAACATCTCTGACTTCACATGGGCAACACAGCTGTCCAAGTGGCTGAAAACACAGACGTGAATGAAGTCAGTGAAAGGATGAGTCACAGCACAGCGGTGCCATTTACACTCACCCCATCCCTCCCCCATCTCCTTTGGCCTGGGAGATTCTTCTTAGGAAGTAGCTCTTTGCCACATCCCCAAGGGCCGTGTACAAGGAAGAGCCTTTGAGGGAGGAAATAAGTCCCTTAGCAAATTGGTTGCTTATTGCTGGTCCACCTAGTAGAGTGGAATCATTTGCATCTAATGGGGAGATGGTGGGGCTTAAGGGTCGCAGTGAAGTGGCTGAGTGGCTTAGGGATGTTTAAATATTTTCTGTAAAAAGCAGATGTAACATCCAGTTGAAGATCCGACTCTACATGATTCAGTTGTAGCTTAATAACATCACATAGAGTGAACTAAAAAGAGGAAAGCTCACAGGAACCACTGTTAATCTTATTCTTTGAAATCTGCTGTCCAAATTAATTCATGAGAGGTTATGGAAGTCAATATCTTGCCTGGCAGATGGCACTGTCTCATCATCTAAGTTGAGGCTGTTTGTTTTCATCATGATGGGTTTATCTGGATCAATGCTAGCAAGGATTTAAAATCTATGAGACGGCATCTTCAATAAAAACAGGGTCACTGTGTGGTTAATAAAAAATGTATTTGCTTGCTTCTTTCTCTTTTGAGTTTCTACTGTCTTGAGGATGATCCAATCGTGATATGGAGTCAATCTTTGTTCTCACGTTTACTGTGTTTCCTGCCCTCAGTCAACTCACTGTAATTGTAGCCCTTGTGTCACCCTCTTTCAAAGTTTTCTTTTCTCCTTTTTGTAGCGAGCTTCCCTGGGGATGGTGCCTGGATTCTCAGTCTGAGGAGGAGAGGAATGGACAGGACTGAAGCAGGATGAACAGCTGCTGGTCTGCCCGCTGCCAAGGCTTGGCAGAATGCTCCTGGGGAAGCAGTAGGCACCTGGTTCACACAGGACCAGCACAGCTGGTCCAGCTTTTGATTGGCAGAGTGTGGCTTCCTTCATCACCACAGTGACTGGCCCTGTGATCTTGCTGCAGCCTGCTGAAATGGAGAGAAACCCAGTGAAAGCTGTACACCTCATGGGAGCAGGTGCAAGTCACATTTCACTAATGAACAATGGGCACTTTGCACACAGAAGGCTTTGATCCGAGCACTAAAAAGCCCCTCTGTTGAACAGGCTGTTGGCCAAGGCAGTCAGCAGTAAGAAGCATTGGGAAGAATCCTTTATCCAGGAGAGTCAATGCAACAACAGTTGTCAGATTTCACTGTTACAGAGTCAAACACTCAATTTCAGTGATCTTGTTGAGAAAAAGCAATGCATTAGTAGCAGAATATTCATGAAACCTTAGATTCTCATAAGTCACAGATGAGGTCCACACCTCCATCTCTATCCCCACTGCTCATCAACTAAATCAGTATTATGTGCTTGCTTATCCCATGGTTCAATACTTCCCATAAATATAGGTACGCAATTATTTTACTTCATAAACCAATTGATTCTAGACTTGGACTATTCCCTCAAGGAGTAAAATATTTCCTCTAAACTTTAAACTCTCTTCTATGCATTGGTTTCAGTTCTGCCTTATGGGTTTAGGTAGGATAATTCTACCAAAGAAGTGGGCATCCATGTGAGAAACTTCCAGATATTTGGAGACCATTCTCGAGTCTTCTAGAAAATAGTTATGGAGTATATTTTAATAAATATAAAATACATGAATTAATGTAAAATGAATAAATTTATAAATATATAATAAATAAGATATAGCTCTATTGTTATGGTTAGGTCTAAAATGTCCCCTAGAAGTCTCATGTGTTCACTGCTTGGGTTTTTGGAAGGTGATTTGATCCTAGGAATTGCTGCACTCATTAGCAGATTTATTCATTAATAAGTTCAGAGCTGACTGTGCTGTTAGGAGGTGGGGCCTGGTGAAGGAGATTGGTCACTGGGAGGCTTTACCTAAAGGGAGTATTTTTGAGTCTGGCTCCTTTCTTCTCTTTCTGTTTTCTGGATTTATGGGTCATATAGCTTTTCTCCACTGGGCCCTTCTGCCATGCTGTTTTCACTTGGGAGCTTATTGATCATGGACTGACCACAATGGAACCATAAGTCAAATTAAATCTCTCCTTATGGTGCAGGTTTTGGGTATTTTGTCCTAGTGACAAGAAAGTGACTAACTCACTATTTTAATATGCTAAACCATGCCTGCCACTTCCAGAGTTACTGCAGAGGCTCTGTGCAAATATATTGTCTTCTCTCTTCAAGCATCAGTAGGATTGCAGGGTTTTTGTGTTGGAATAGTCCTGAGATTTTACTTCTCTCATGCTGAGACAAAATATCTGACACCCAAAGTCAAAAAAGGAAATGTTTAATGTAGATCACATTTTGTGAAGGTTTTAGTTGCCTGGCTCCAAGGCAGGGTCACATAGCAAAGGGATGTCACACAGAAGAAACAGCTCATGGCAGGCAGAAGATCACAAGGTATCCAGCAGCAAAGTAGCAAATCAGCAAAAAATGAAAGCATCTCTCTTTCTGTCCCTAATATTCTATCCAGGCTACATGCCCTTAGGGTGAATAGCACTCACATCCAGGGTAGACTTTCTCATTATCTATACCCAGAAGTGTGCCAATCCAACCCAATCTGTGAACTAAGTTAGTAATCACACATCCTTGATTCCTGCATCACACACTTAATCCAAGCATCACACACTCTAGATCTAACCCCCCTAGAAAAGCCCCCCTAAGACTGCATGGTGCTTTGTGGGGACACCTAGACACAAGTCATAACATTATCTAAGCCTTTCTTTCACAGTAGGGAAACACAGGGTCACAGGTGAAGTCGCACAGTACTTTAGGGTTGACAAAAGAACCCAAGCCGTCTGGGGCTTGTGTTTATATGTCTTGTTGCCTTGTGACATCTGTGATCCAGAGTGAAGTAGTTTCTGCAGGTCCACACCAACTATCCACCATCCTTTAAGCACACAGGGCTTTCATCACCTCACCTTCCTTTCCTGATCACCAGCTCCCAGAAGATCTACTACTCTGACACTTGGTCTGAATTGCAGCCAATGTGTTTCCATTCCTGTGAGCTCCTTAATTTTTCCTCTTACTTTTCATTGAGGAGAATAGAATATAGGGTAAGAGATTTGAGGCTTTGTAAAGCAGACAAGAGAGGTACGTTCAGCCTGGCATGGTGGTGCATGCCTATAATCTTAGCCCTCAGGAGGCTGAGGCAGCAGGATTTCTGTGAGTTTGAGACCAGCCTAGGCCACATAGTGAGTTCAAGGCCAGTCTGAACTACATAATGAAACCTTATCTCAAAAAAAACCCAAACAAAACAAAAGAAAGAGAAGCATAATTAAGGGAAAGATAATGAGTCCATATAAGGACATGTATGTCCATATAAGGATAAGTTCTTCATGAATCAAGAACTAGGTATCTCTGAGTCTGAAAGGACATGTTTGGTATCACCAATGCCAGACAAACAGGAGCACATTCTCTGTGTGAACTCTTTGGGCATGACGTTGTGTCAGGAGACAAATCCCAAAGAAGCAAACCAGTACAAGCAAATTATTGCTCAAAAGTGGAATCTTCCAGGAGCCAGGTGGGCTCATAGCAGTGAAAACAAAATGATGTGGTCCCTGTCCGTGGACCTGTGAAGGGGACAACATGCCTGTAGAGTAGATTCTGCACCTGAGCTCAGGGATGTCATTCTAGAAGCAGAAGAAAAGGAGGTAGATACTCAGTTGGCCTGTACAGCTGAGAAGTTAGAAAACACTGAAGTTTTCAGAGAGAAGGGTTGGAAGCGTGGAGCGGGAAGGATCCTATGAAGATCCCCTGGAGTGAGAGAGAAAGAGCAAAGCATAAGATAGCAAGCCTTTGGGCCTCTGTGTCAGCACGGATGTTTGTGCCTGGGAATGTTTCTGTGTCACTGTTCTTAGGTCCAGAATCCAACATTTCAAAAGATGAACGTCACTGTTTTCCAATTCTTGGCCAAATCTTGGAATGGGCACCTGTTTGGGCCCTTCCTTGACATCCTAAATGTTCCTGCTTTTCTACCGCTTGGTCGTACACAATGTTATTTTCTTAGACTCTAAGTTAGTTCAGTGTTCATCTTTTCTCATCATTTTCTCTCATAGGTTGGGATTGCTTTGTGAGTTAGTATTTAGATTGACCCACACATTTTACTGTTTCCTCTGAACATTTTTCACTTCTATATTCTTCCTCCATTGGCTTAGTCTATGTTGCTCTCTTTTTCTTGGTCTCCTTGACAATTCTAATGTTTAATTTGGCTTTGTTATAGTTGGCAATCTTGCACTGGTATTTTTAATCCTTATCTTGATGTTTTGCAATTTGTATTTTACATTGTGTCACAAACCCAAGTTGTATCAATATCATTTTAGCTCATTTCATGTAGCTGTAACTGAAAGCCACAAATAGGGAAACTTCTAAAGAATAGAAGTTGACCTGACTGATGTACTGGAGGCTGGGAAGGCAGAGAGGGTGGTGCTGGCATCTGGTGTGAGTCTTGCTGCATTCTAACCTGGCCGAGGGCATCACCTGGAGAGACAGAGCAAGCCTCTAGCTCAAGACTTTCTCTATCTTCTCACAAAGCCCGTGATGCCACCCAGGAAGCCCCCCCCCCCCTTATGTTCTCATCTAGTCCTAATCATCTTCTCAGGGCTCTATCTCCAACTACTTTTAACATACGATGTTGGGGATTAATCTTCCAACATGAGCTTTTGGGAGACACAAGGAAACCATCGTCAGTGTCTATTCCAGCCTTCAGGATTGAGGTTTATAAACTACTTAGATTTGCTGTTTTACCCACATTCCCTTCAAGTCCATCAGTGCATTCACAGGTTCAGCTGGGTAAGCAGATGATACCTTTCCCATCCAGTTTGGACTCAGTAGTTCCTCACTTACTCTTCCTTCAGCATGGTTCTGCTTGGCCCTGGTTCTGGCAAAGTTTCCAAACCAAGAGAGAAGAACCTTGAAATTCATTACATAGTGAGACAAAGTGCCAGGGAGAGCATATGTCATTTGCAAGTGACAGGGTACAAGTGAAGGAGGTGGAATAGAATGAATTCTTTTGCTCGTCTACTAAGCTCAGTTTCTTGCTGTGCACAAAACTGTTCTCAGCTTTATGGGCCTTGTGCACTCATTCAGAATCCCAATAGCACTTTTTAAAATAAAGTATGTCTGATTTAAAAAAAAAATTCTTTTGTATCAGGGATTGAACTCAGGATCTCATGCTTGCCAGGCAGGCGCTTTCACCACTGAGCTAAATCCCTGGCCTTGGTTTGTTTTTTGAATGTGGTCTCTATCCTGGTCTCCAATCGGTTTGACATTCTTTAACAAGCAGAGATTATACCCTGTCTCCCAGCACCTTGCCCAGCGAGGAGCCCAGGACACAATTGGCTGTGGATATATTTGTGCTGAGCAAACAGGAAGATGTTATTTTTGCTGCCAGTGTTCTGTATGGAAGGATTCAATGTGTGTTTATAAACAGATCCTAAGGATGTATTTAACAATTTGGATGTTTAAGTTTCATCCTTTTAATCTGCGTGAAACCTGCCTACTTTTTCTTGATTATACCAAATTCTTGATTTTGTCTTTTGAGAGCAAATATAACAAATGGAATTGATTATTTTCTTTCCCAGCAGAGCTATGAAAGCCTGACTGCAAGGATATACTTGATACCAACTGAGTATGTACTATTGAACATGAGTGGGATGAATATCATCTCTGACACTGTAAAGGTAAAAGAAAGAATAATTGGTTTATTGCATCTATCCCAGGGGTCAGCCTATTTTGGAACTTTGATGTTGTCCTCTGAACTGATCAACAAACTAAGCACCTCTCTGACAGATCTTTATTTTATATCATAATTTGTAAACATGACAAAACAAGACAAAATAGTATTTGCTCTTCTTGATGACAGATAATTCAGGTTAACTCGGTGTTATCATTGATTGTTTAATATTTATCGAAATGTAAAGTAGTAGTGAACACTATAGTGGACATTCTCAGGAATTATTTGCTTGAACCTCAGAGGAGAAGAACTGAATGCATTTGGGAAATTCAGTTAAATGATGATATGCTTGCATTTAAAATGGAGGCTTAGCTACCTTTTTCTTTTAGTATTTGAGTCTCCCCTTTCTTATTTTCTTGTCAGTCCTTTCCCAACTAGATACACCTGCCAGCACAATGGAAAACATGTTATCACTTTCCTGAATGAGTTTTAAATAAAATTGTGAATTATATTTTCTTAGTTACTTTTCTCATTGCTCAGACAAAATACCCAACACCCAAAGTTAAAGGTTTTTTTGGCTCAGAGTTTGTAGAGGTTTCATTTCATTGTTAGCTGGCTCCAAGGCGGTATAGCATGGTAGAGGGGCATTGCAGGAGAGAAGGGCAGGCAAAAGGCAGAAGGGAGCAAGCAGCAAGCATCAAATAACCTTCTTCCTGTATTCTTCCATCTCTAAAAGGCCCCATTTATGACCACATAAAGTTTTGGGGGGACACCGAGGTATATACCATCATATATGCCAATAGGAATACACACAGGAATTTTGGGTTGCGTGAAAAATAGAGAAATAAACTATTACAGTGAGTTCCTAGCCCTAGTGGGTAATCAATAGCTGTGAACTTTATAAAATGTGGATGTGAAAATACAAAAGCAAAAGCAAAGGTAGTAGCCAAAATTGGATGTGTAGGCCAACTTAGAATGCTTCTGTGATAGGAAGAAATTTAGGAGGGTAACAAATTA